GGTTGTTCCGTTTTTATTTTGTTGTGATAATCATTCTTTTAGTTTTCATTTCATTCAGTTTCAATTTATTTGCCATGAGGTACTCATTTACATCTTTTAATGTGGCATTCATTTTATCAATAGCGTTATCTAAGCTTGTATCGCAGCATGCCAATAATGTATCATCTGCAAGTATAAGACAAAAAGCAGAGGTCCTAAAACGCTTCCCTGCGGCACACCTATATGTATATCCGATTACTGTGAGATATTATCTTGAACTCTGACTTTCTGCTTTCTATGGGATAAGTAGTCAGAACAACATTGGTAAACATCACCATCAATGCCATAACCTTAATTTTATCAGAAGAATATTACGGTCAATTGTTTCAAAAGCCCTCTTCAGATCAAGGAAAACAGCCATTACAAATTTATTGTTATCAACTTATTTTTTGAATTTAGATAATGTGAGTTTTAATGCGGAATCACATGAATATTTTTTACGAAATCCAGATGGATTATTTATTGAAATTTCAGTTTTTTCAACATGATCAAGTACCTGCTTATATACAACTAGTTCAAGAATATTTTCTATTGGTAGTAATGTATTTATAGGTCTATATTCACTAGCCTTGATTGTATTGCTTACCTTTTGAATGAGAACTATAGTACTAACTTTTAAAGAATTTGGAATTTTACAAGTTTGAAGAGAAATATTTACAAGGTTTAAAATTATATGTTTACATGTTTCAAAAATTACTTTGAACATTTTGAAATTTAAGATCTCATGAACATTGTTTTTGTTGCCGAATAAGGAGTTAACAATTAGACGTAATTCATTCATTGTTAATATGTGAAACTTGGAAAAATTAGGATATAGATTATAATTATTGAGTTTCCAATCTTTCAACATTATCTATACTATCAACAATTTGCTGAATACTAGTAATGAAGTAGTAATATCGGATAATGGCCACATATTGGCAGCAATGTCGCTGTTGTATCGCCTTTGTATATGAAAATAACCTTAGTTGTTTTCAAAATGTATGAAAATATATGCAAATTGCAGTTTCTGATCACTGAGCGGAGTTAAGACTCAACCTCTCGTTAATTCCTTTATTTCTTTAGGTTTTTCCCGAACTCCAAAACAATGACTGCGATCATATAGAGGCCCGTGTGTGTGTGTGCGTGCATAGAGGACTTTGTTTGAACAACAAATTTCAAAATTTCAAGTTCACATGACATGTGGAGTTGAAAATGGGGTTACCATTTTTTGATTGCTTGGTGATTAGAAGTAATCATGGTAGACCCTAGAGAATTTTGTATCTATTGGAAAAGTCCACAACATGAAATGGCAGGACTAAATTTTCTTGTCCATAGGCTTGTTACGTTCCTCTTGAGTGAAGAAAGATATGATATTGGGAAAAAATGTTATCAGGGACATAGCTGAGACAACGAGTACCCCTTTCAAATATAGTAGATCAGTGGCTCACTAAGGAATTTGAACCCTTGTCTATTGCGGAACTAGGTTTTAGTATAAAAAACTCTTCAAAATTCATACAACATACAAAAAACATGGTTCTGGCCCGTTCCAGAATTGAAGGTCGACTCTTTCAGTTGTATTGCCAATTGCATATGCAGGAAATTTTCTGTGAGGATTCCTGCACTGACGCCTATCGGATATAATCCAACGCCCTTCGTGGTATTAGCCAGGGGAGTAGTTGTTTTCAGATAGGTGTCAGTCCATTCAACCTACTGGCTTGAACGTTTAAAGTAGAAAGCATTAAAGTTTGTAGGTATTTCTTACTGAACGAATACATAAATAAGTACTTACTTGTGGTTTATAACTGTTTAGTATTTGATAAGCTTTCATCAAATTCAGTTTTCCATGGCCTTGCTCAAACATATTCACTCCAGGTAATCTCCTAGCTGATGCCATGAGAGCTTGTTTCATACTGGCAGGATTTATGACTTCCCCGCGATGTAAGACCCCACTAGCTAGGAGTGTTACAGCCCCTGCTACTACCGGTGATGCGACACTTGTTCCAGAAAGACTGCGACACCCACCTTTTATGTGAGATCCTTTCACAGCTGAACCGTAAGTAACTATATCTGGCTTCACTCTTCCATATCCTGTAAGAATAAAAAAATTATTTTTCCTTATAAAGTTTTCTTTCTATAAAAAAGTACTTATTCACTAAAATGTAAATTTCTATTCTGGGGTATTGAATTCCTTTTTTTGCCGGACTATTTTAAGGGGGACCAGTATGAGGTTGATAGCCATTTTTTAGTAGCCATTTAGATTCCATCATCCAAATTACCAATGGCGCCGGTGAAATAATAATATCACAACTTAGCTATTCAAATCGAGAGGAGAATATTTTAAGGACACATTAGTTTTTGGGGAAAAAACATTTTGGCTATCACTTATTCCGAAACTACCGAAATTCGTTGAGGACATTTACAAAAATCTTGATAAAAAGAAATTGTGGGTGCTCTTTTTTTTGACCTCACAAAAGCATTTGATTGTTTAGATCAGAACTTACACCAAGATTGAATTAAATACATTTGGAATCCGTGGAAACATACTTGAATGGTTAATGTCGTTCCTGAGAAATAGAGAGATTGCTTTTAGACTAAATAATATTATTTCCGGAATAGAAAGAACCAATTTTCCACGAATCTTCGCCCGATCTCTCTCATTCCAACTATAGTCAAAGTTATCGAAAAACTTGTGAAAATACATCTTTGCAACTAATTAGCAATTTGTGAAATCATTAGTTTTACTTATATTGAAAAATGCCTCCTCTATTTGAAAGAAAATATCAGTTTCTGATACTTTTGAGAAAGTTGATGTCTCTAAATTATTAAACCGTTCAAAGTCGGTGTCTACATGACTTCATAAATCTGGTTTTATAACTAATCCTCTTTCCAAAAGGTTCTGCGACAATAAACCGGTGTTTACACAGACATTGAAATTGGTTTTAGTAATATTGGTTGTTAGGAATCCCCTTTTAAACAGCCATGTTAACATGGTCATATATTTTTTGCTGGTTCATTATGTTATTTCATCACACATTCGAATATATAAGTGAATATCGTTCTTTTATCATACAAGAAGATTAAATTTACCTTCTGGTAATTCCCAAGTAGTCATTCCTCTTGAAGAAAACTTTGCAATCTGATCTTCAAAGTTAATACCGCCCACTCCAATGACATCCATTTGATCGGCAGGGTTGTTGAGAGTTCCATAGAGAGGACCATCATTACCAATAGCAGACACCATAATAATCCGATTAGCAGTCAATTCCCAAACTTTGTCAACAAATGGATGATCTTTAAAATCAGGTCCACCAATACTCAAATTCAACACATTTATTTTTTTCAGAATTGCATAATTGAATGCATCTAAAAACCAAGAGGTATAAGATACTTGGTTGTTTGTAAACACTCTGAAGATGTGTAATTCTGAGTCAGGTGCAAAACCTAAGCATTCTTTACTAGAAGCTATTACCCCCGCAACGAAAGTTCCATGACCAAGACCATCATCAAATGTTTTCTCATTTGTCCAGTTGGTACGATCTTTTATTTTACGAAAGTGTGGATGAGATTTAGACAGTCCAGTATCAAAAATAGCTACTTTTATGCCTTTACCAGTAATTCCCATATTCCAAAGGGAATCTGCTTGTAACACTGAAGTTATTTGTCTGGGAATAGCTCGAAGCAAACGTCTTGTATGACGACCTGTTGATTGCCAGAATTGCACTTTTGAATTCAAGCTACTTCTGCCGTATCTAACATGTTCAGGGCTAATGAATTTTAATGTTCTTGAGACCATGCGTTGAGGTGTAACTCGTTTGACGGCAGGATGGTCATTAAGCATATTCAGTCCTTCTAACTTTTCAGTATCTTCTATCAATACAACGTCAAAATCACTAGGATAATCACTGGCAGGATTCTTCCTGGCAAGTATTTCCCATTTGTGTATACCAGATGCATTCAATGCAGTATTAATGTAATTTGCCCTAGCTTGATTTTTATAATATCCATTGAAGACAACAATATATTCATTTTCAATAATTTTGGAATTATAATTAAATTCCAAATGTTCTGTTGTGAGATTGCAACAAAGTGGTGATTCTATAATATCCTCTGTGGTTTTTCCATTGTGATTTTGTGCACTTATGAAGGTAATTGCTGTATAAAATAAAATGCAGTTGTAAATATAAGTGTTCTTCATTTTAAAATAGGGTTTTTCTCTTTCTTTTTCTACGAAACATTTTATTATGGTGATATAACAACCAATTTTACTAAAATTCAATATTTTTCAACTTCTCATTTCAGCTATTAAATGGAAAAAACAAATCAAAATATACTTTTAATAGATATACAATAACATATCAAAGAATAGACATAGACTCGTAATAGAGTTCTCTCTCTCTCGCTCTATTTTTGTATGACCATTGCTTCCTTGTCGGGCGCATTCGACTACCACTCCACCTATTTCATAACTGCCGTCATCCTGTCATAGACAGNAGGAATAGACTCGTAATAGAGTTCTCTCTCTCTCGCTCTATTTTTGTATGACCATTGCTTCCTTGTCGGGCGCATTCGACTACCACTCCACCTATTTCATAACTGCCGTCATCCTGTCATAGACTGAAGGCTTATTTTTTGCTTTATACATCTGTGACTTGGGGATTCATGACAAATAGCACAAAACATAGGTGTGATTTGTGAAAATACGTTAGGATATACCAAGGATAGGGAACGATGGTATCCTCCTTTCCCTTTTATATATCTTTTTGATTTTTAATCATAAATTTGTTTAGTATTTGAATGATTCTAACATTGAGATATCTTAGGATTGTGCACATGTCTTAAGGTGCCAGAGTAGGATAGAGTTACATACTCTTTCTGATTTATTTGATTTTGGCTCTGCATTTTGAGCAATTTGCCACAGTATTTTGTATATACAGAAATACTGTGAATTTGCCAGACTTCGATGATACGATCATCAATCATCATCCTTTCTATGACATTCATACCGTGCGTTCCACTAAGTGCTCACAACGATCACGTCACGACCGCAGTTTTTCCCGTTCCACTTGGTTGCCCGTGTTACTGTCGTAAACTCAAGTGGAATAGATTATGGAACGTTTTGGAACATTACAAATGGTGAGATTGAAAAACTGAAGTAGAAGTTTTAATGAGGTTACGTAAACCTTAACAATGAGTTTCAAAAATTGCAAGCTAACTTTATTTATATTGAAAAAAAAGTATAAATTATTAAGCAAATTGAGTTTCAATGTAATCAAAATGNTTTCACAAATATAAATTTGTGTGAAAGTGGACCAAGTTTTACCGAGATAATATATGGAGAAATAAATTCTTGAAACCAACAAAGGATTACAATTCAAAGTATCCTTTCAATTTTACTAATATGTCAAGGCAATGAATGAGGTGTTTTCTGGCATTTAATCATATTCGAGAGTGTATTCAAAAACGATTCGTAGTGACGTCATTAATAATAAGATTCACTAGAATGGAGTGATCCAATTAATTTTTATTGTTGTTTTATAATTTCACAAATAATAAAGTCAAACTTTTCGATTTTCTTTAACCTCAATTAGAATCGGTTTGTGCACGTAATAATTTCTCAGCTTTATTTTGTACATCCTTACAACATATTTGATAAAAAAGTTTTCAGCACTTTGTGAACTATAACGATCAAAATAAAGCAGAAACTGACGTAACGTAAAATTCCGTATCAAAACCAACCTCACGCTGAGGTGTTTGTGCACGTAATACTGTCTCAGCTTTATATTGTACATCCTTACAACATATTTGATAAAAGAGTTTTCAGCACTTTGTGAACTATAACGATCAAAATAAAGCAGAAACTGACGTAACGTAAAATTCCGTATCAAAACCAATCTCACGCTGAGGTATTTTCTGTCGTTTAATCGTATTCGAGCGTGTATTCAAATACGATTCGTAGTTACGTCATTGTATAAGAACAATCGTTACGTCATTAATAATGAAACTCGCCAGATGGAATGATACAATTTGTGTCAAATATCAAATTCAATAATGAAAACAAACTTTTTAATTTCCTTTAACGTCAATTATAATCGGATTTGTGCAAATAATAATTATCCAGCTTTATTTTGCACATCCTTACAACGTATTTGATGAGAAGTTTTCAGCACGTTATAAACTTTTACGATAAACAACTGACAACTGACGTAACGTAATGTCAAATTCCAATCAACCTCACTCTAGTTTTAAATCAAGAAGAATTAGGCCACAGTATACTATATACAGTAATCCCACTTCGGGTGATTTTTAGTTTGAATTTTCTACACGCAGACCCAGGAGTTGCAGTCTCAGGTCTGCGCAAACGACGAGTTCAAGGCATGCACGCGACCAAATCGTTTAAACACTGCTCAACATAACAAATATTCATATAAACTGCTCAAAAAAATACAGTCGATGAAAACCATGTTGGGCACCTAAGAAAATTGTACAAATGTTACAGTTTATTGTATGATTTTCACTATAAAAGGGTTTTACAAAAACCGCGACACGTGTTTCGCTATACTATAGCTTCTTCAAGCATAAACTTGAAGAAGCTATTGTATAGCAAAACACGTATTAATTAGTTTTTTTTAATCAAGAAAATACAGAATCAAAGTATGTCCAAAATGTATTTAGTACATAATTACACCAAATATATACAACACAAAATTAACAAAAACATCAATAGAAAACTAGTCAAACAATAAATTAATCTTAATCAATTGCTTAAACAATATTGATTCAGAATATCCAAGGTTCAGGACCTGCCTTTGTAATCATCTTTGAGTTTCCATTTCAGAAGCTCCATACAAGTTATGGCATCTTCTGCGCTGTCATGGCCACTCACGTCATTTTGAATTATTTTTCGCAGATACTCACTAGCCAAAACCTTCAAACCTCTTTTGTGAGGTAATCCCATTTTGTGTGGAAATAATACAGAGGTGTCGATGACAGAGTTGTGAACAATTTTAAGAGCCTTCATGTCAGATTCCAAACTATGGCCAACTAAAATAGTTTTTGAATTACACAAATGTAGTATATTCGCTTGAATTTGTAATATACTAGTACTTGTTTTATCCATTTGTTCTTTAGTGATACCAGAGAACCTAGTGTTATAGTCTATTATGGGATTCAGTGGTTTCACTAACGATTCATAAACAGTTTTACAGTCAATGTCTACAACGGTCACACGGGTTAATTCTAGTCCTTTAGTTGTATAACACATTTCGCAATCTAAGGCATAGACAGCATAACTTCGTGAGTCATCCGCATATTCAGGGTCCAATGTTGTTTGATAACCTTCAAGTTCTGCTGAACACGCAGATTCGGACACGTGGGTGTCGGAAGTCGCACAACCTGAACTTTCATTACTTCGGCAACATAAATATGTTTGCTCCCCTCTAATGGTTCTTTTCTTCAAAGGATGATAGCTGCACTCTTCCTCGAATAAAGGCCATCCATCATCATCTACATGATATAGTTTATGACATCGGGCACAAATTCGTTGATTTTCATCCAAATTTTGTGGTATTGGATTCCTAACATTTTTAATAACTGCTCTACCGTGGTGTTCCTCACTGAGTCGAGGATATCCGTGAAGATCCAATTCTTCCTCTGTTAGAAGCCACTTCTTCACATTATTGTAAAAAGTCCGGCTCCTACTACTTGAAGAAGGATCCTTATCTGAATTGTCGTCTAATCCAATGAGACCAAGACCATTTTTGTTTCGCTCTTGAATTTCTTTTCTTAGTCGGTTCACAGCCAGCATTGCGGAATTTCTATAAGTAGTTAATACTTTACATTTTTCGTAACAAGAGTATTCTTCATTTAAAGCTCTAGTATATGCTTCCTCTTTGGATATGTACAGTTTCACACATTCATCAGCTAACATTGTCAAAAACCTCGTCCTCACATTTACTGGTAATTTAGATTTATCTGATTGTAGTACATCTGGGATATCGGACAGAGAAACATCAGGAATATGTGCTGTACGGTTACCTTTCTGAGTCTGCGCTACAGTTTTCACTGTAACAGTTTGTTTTATTTTGGAAATTCGTTCCTTTGCTTTAGCCATCAGTGAAACATTTTGTGCGGGAGCAATTCTAGTAACAATTTTCACTTGGGAACACGTTTTTGAAGTACCTTTCAATATTTCATCAACTAAACAAGTTGACTTGGGTTGTGATTGTTGGAGACTTTCCCTTCTTATTTTTCTCTCTCGAGCAGCTTCCAATAAAGAAGGAGCAGGTCTTTTCAAGGGTCTCGAGAACTGCATTTCATTCATCACTAACTCTTGTTCTTTTCTTGCCTGGGCTGCATGAGCAATCTTGTAGCGGTTAGCTAAGGTTTGTCCAGGAGTAATTATAGCTTTTGGCTTTGTTGGAGGAAATATTTTTTGAAAGTTCTGAGTTTGTTCAGTATTACCATGAGCTACACGTTTTTTACCAATATTATCGATATTACAATCAATTAAAGGCATGGGAATATATTCGTCAGGTTTCTCAGGTTTGTCATTTTTTGGTGGTGTATATTCGTTGAATATTTTATAGCACTCTAACATCGTTTCGTCATCATCTACTTCTGAATCAGGTGAAACACTTCCACTATGATCTAGTGAAACAAATTCAGAATTATCTTCGAGCTTATTGGATTCTACATCTCGAATAGTCACTTCTTGATACTTATGGGATTGATAATTTGATGGAGACTTATCATGACTTTGCTTATTTTTTGATTCACTTTCTTTTTGCTTCTTGGAGGAGTGGTGTTTGCTTTTGTATTCTTTTTCCTTCCTAATCTGCTCTTTTGATGTACTGTGAGAGTGAGTTTTCTTATGTTCATTTTTTGGTCTTTCTACACTTCTGTCACTACTTTTTATATCAGTTTTATGTTTTTCTTTACTTTTGGAACTATTTTCAATTCTACTATCTCTATTTTTTCTTGTGGCTTCACTCCTTTCGCTCTTTACTTTATCTACCTCACTAGTTTTTTGCTTCTCTCTACTTGAACTCGGGCATTTTTTTTTATCAGTTTTGTCTTCTCTTTCATTACTTTTATCAGATGTGTTACTTTCTTTGGAGTTCTCTTCATGTCCACGTTTAGTTTTCTTGTGCCTGTCCTCTTTTTCTCTTTCTTTACTTTTTTCACTAGTGTGATGACTAGTGTTTTTTTTAATATTTCCTTTATCTTGCTTTTCTTTACTACTTTTGCCACTACTAAGATTTTTTGAATTATCTCTTTTTTCATGTTTCTCTCCTTTGCTTTCACATTTTTCTTCTTTCTTCTCACGTTTTTCTTTTTTCTTCTCACGTTTTTCTTCTTTCTTCTCAGGTTTCTCTCCCTTCTTTGATTTCCGTTCATTGTCAGCAAGTTGGAGATATTCATGTTTTGAATCACTGTTCGAAGGTGTCTCACATTTTTCGAACTTGTTATGGGCCTTGCTTCTTTCATCTATTGGGTTTGTTTCATCAAATTTCAAATTACAGTCAGTTGATTTCACAGGTACTGATACTGACTTATCTTTAGAATTTGCTTGGTCACCTTTTTTTAGGCGGTTTTTGACGGTTTTTTCATCATTCAAACATTTTGCCTTGGTTTCAGTCAATTTCTCACTGTTACCCTCCAACGATATCTTACAGGGGTCATATAATTCAGAATCATCAGCTTTTTTAGAAACTTTATCGCTTGAATTTATTATTTCATCAATAAGTTCGAATTCTGTAGATAAATCTTCGAAATCAATATCAGTAGTTGTTTGTAATGATATTGTAGGGTCATATTCTACATTAGCAATGTTTTGTTTAATTTCTTTGATAGCTTCGATATTTTCACTGTTGTCTTCGGAAATTGTCCTACCTCTTTTGTTAGCTGAGGATAAAATACTCAAAGGGGTAGGTTTGTAAGTTGGTTTCTCAAATTTGGGAATCGGCCTGGACTTTCTTTCTGGTCTGAACGTAAGGTCAGGTACATAACTTATGGGTATGTGGCTTTTATTATTGTGAATGTTGGCTAGTTCACTTTTTGGAGTTGGTTTGTATGTAGGAACTGTTTGTGATTCTTTTTCGGATTCCTTAACTAGGTCTTCAACATATTCAGATTGCTTTTTTCTATGTCTGAAATGACAGTACGGTCTTCCACAGGAACTATTGAAATATGGACATTCAATATCTTGAAAATATCCTTTTGTAGGCAACATTGATATTTTATAAAAATACTTTCACAAAAGCATAACCTAGCTTTTGTATTTATATATAAATGTTATCTTTTGTTGTCAGAAATCAGAATGACATGAATGCAGTATTACCAACACAAGATTGATGTCAGAAATGCACAAAATCTGATCTTAAAGGCGAGTTCATATTAGAACGATTGCGATAATATTTTTGCGGTTCCGCAAATTTGACTCAATTGTCAAAATACCCTGTTCATGTTGAAGCGGGCAATATCTAGGGATTTCATTGTTGAATTTTAAATTTTATTACATGAACCTGAATGATGACATACGACTCATACGAATTACGACTTTTAAGACCAGACCCCATCATATCAGAATATAGGACTAACAATTTTCTCAAGTTTTGTTTAATAGGAGCGTGTCCTCAAACCACTTATCTTAACGTTACTGCCTGCAGGGGCGAGTGGTTCTTTTGCAAAATGAGTTTTCTTTAATGAGGGGCCAACCAAATTCAATAATTTATTGAATAATGAGAGAGTGAGCCTGAAATAGTTGAAATATTTCTCTGGATCACTAATTCTCATTTATTTCAGCCACAAGATTGTGATATTCTCCATATTTTCTTCTATTTTTGAAAAAAATTTCCAGTATAAAGACGGGGTTTTCTCAATGAAGTTTTTTACGGTAAAGTTGATATAATTTGAACAACCTGACACATTCGTCCATATTTCGGATTCAATTTCGATGTATGGGCGTGAAAAACGAGAATCAAAGCAATATAACTATACTTTGTATGTTGACGTATAACATTTTTGCGAAAATCGCAAAAAAGTTCAATTTTTTCAACTTTTTTACGATAAACACGACGCCATTTTAAATCGCACTTTTTATGCGATGTTCGTTCCAACATGAACTAGCCTTAAAGCGAAAAATATAAATTCATAGAAATATGGACATATACTTGAATCGCGACCTCGTGAATTAAAAATTCTATGAATTGTAGCTTATGGAAAAAGTCGTCCCATTTTAAATAAATTGATAATCTAAGTTTTAATGTATCAATATGTGTAGGAGGGAAATTAATCTTTGGGCAATAAATTAATATGAATTGGGATTCATAAGATTATGTATTGTATTATCATTTTTTCTGATGATAAGTGATGAATTTTGATGCGGACTTTGGAAACGCTACTAACGACTAGAGACTGTACATAGGAAGCCAGGTCATGCGCGGCGGAGGTTCATTTCAGCCCAAAAGGACAGGTATTTACTGTTATATTCTTGGTATTAATCATACAGCCATGTATTTAAACAAGCTACTTTAATTTGATAAAACAAGATACATCCTCTTAATATCACATACTACTCAAGTTTTCGGCCACATTGCCCGCCAAGGACAATGGTGAACTTCCTTGACTATCTCCACTCATGTTTTGAATTTATGGAACATACGACCCTATACCGACTGCGCCATGTTATATTCTTGTTAATAATCATACAGCCATGTATTTAAACAAACTTAGAAAGAAAAAAAATTATAAGCAAGTAAGTGCAGTAGTAGAAAAAGATACAAACGAAATGCATGAAATAAGAACAAACTTAGATAATAAGAAAGATTTTCTATTTTCCTCCTCATTGATAACAGCTATTCACTCAATATCCATTCTTTCATGTTTGATTCATCTTAGACCCGGATGCCACGCAGGTTGCTATAGCTGCACCCGTGACGAAGTTGGGAGTTAGTCCTGGTAATCACGAGGTTTTTCAACGATGACACGAAACCGCAGTTGGCCCCCTGATGGTGAATCCACTTGTTTTGTTTTCGACCCTTTTTTGCAACCAAGTGTTGCCCATCCTTTACACTTGGCTGTACCATACTGATGAAGGCTAAATAGCCAGAAACACGTGTCTGCGGTTTGCCCACCTTCTTATGAGTGCTTGTCTAAAGAATTCCTCCTCATTGATAACACCTATTCACTCAATATCCCATCTTTCATGTTTGATTTATCTTGGAGCAACATTAGCAACCTGCGTGATGCAGGTTGCACCCGTGACGAAGTTGGGAGTTAGTCCTAGTAATCACGAGGTCAAGTGCAAGGTTGGGCAACAATCGAAGATTTTCACGCCCAGAGTATAATGGGTTGTTTTTTCGAATTTCATACCGTGTTCTGTATATTTGATACTCACAATGATCATTTTCACGACGTTTCGGCAAAATGTCATTTGCCATCTTCTGGTGATGTCTGGAGTCTAGGTCCAAACTCGAACTTCACTTTTTAAGAACTCTTTTATTTGAAGAACTGCGGTTCTGGGATTCAACTTCCTTCCAAGAATTTTTCTGAAGTGCTTGTGTTTTGTCCTAAAAAAAGGCATAATCAAAAGATTGCAAAATAAATTTTGCCGAAACATGGTGAAAATGAATGCTATATAATGGGTTGTTTTTCCCGGTTTCATTCCGTGTTTTGTGTACTTGACCCTCACAAGAATAATTTTCACGACGTTTCGGCAGTCTCATTTGCTATCTGTGGTGTCACAACTAGGGTTCCTACGTTCCACACAATTTACAAAAATATGAAGAAGAGGTTCTTCAAGTTCTATGGTTCTAACCAAATAACAATTGACATTGACAATGACAATGTCAATTTCGAAAAGTTTACTAGTTAACTAGCCGCTAAAATGAATGAAAGTAGGTGATGTTTAAATAAATTTATTATTTTTTTTTTAATTTGTACTTATATTTTGTAGCAATGTCTTTCAACAAGCCTGAAGATTTATGGATTTCATATAAAGAATTGAAGGGAACTGTTTGGAAATATCTTAACCACTCGCAAGAACAAGAAACTACTGTTGAATTAGAAAACACTTTGAGAAAACATAAACAGAGTTTTTTTTCTTTGCTACAATGCCCCGTAAGTAATTTTCCTTTTCTTAAAGTTTGTTTGGGCAAAGTTCCTCCACTCATCAAATATTATGTTTTTCAAAAAACACACATAACGTGCACTGAAGTAAACATAACAGGAAAACATTATATTTTGAACAGAATAATGTTTTAGTAAAACTTATTAGGTACACTATATCATGGAAACGAATGAATTAATAATCAAGAACTATCAAAATCAAATGTTATATTTGTTAGTTTGCATTTTTTGTGTTTTATCTGTTTGTGATAACTTGATATATTATTTAAGATTGGTAGGTATAAAGTTAATGGTGTAGATTTGAAAATAATATAACTAAATAACTTTTCCAAATAAAATTCACTAGTCCTAAGAACATATATCTATTCAAATACAGGAAATAAATGACTTAAGGGCTTCATTCAGTTATGTGTCTTATTTTTATATTCATGTAAATTGGATGAAAATCAATAACTTTGATTAATTTATTGAATCTTATTTAACATCTGATATGAGTACAATATAAACAATGTTTAATTATTAAAAGTCTCTTTCCATCACCAGAATTTATAAAGTAGTTTAATAATTTTTTGGGAAAGAAAGTTTTTGGCTTTCTACTACTCCATCTGATACAAAAAAAATGGATGAGGGAATCTTCCAAAGAAAGGAAGGATTAATCAATTTGAAAATAAGTAACTCTATACATGGATGTGTAGATCATGCAAAGAAGTAACTTTCAGACACAAACTGAAAGAAAGTTTTTTTTGTATCAGATGGAGTAGTAGAAAGCCAAAAACTTTCTTTCCCAAAAAAATTAATCACTCCTAAAAATATAACCCTTTCAAATCAAATAGTTTAATAACTTATGTTTTAAGAGTATACTTCTGTTTGCTGTTCACCCAAAGAAATTTTCTAGTTCTATTCTTAACTAGTCAGCATCCGACCAATCCAGTAGCTTTGAATTTCTTACTCACGTTAGATTGTTGTATATTTTGGCCTAGGTGTCTTTCATTAAAAATGCTTGCTGTCACAAGGCGATCTGTGTTTTTACCACACATGAATTGTTATTATTATAAAAGTTAGCATGTTTTCTATTCAATATGTAGTAATAATTAAAAGTTACTACTACAAATAGAAAGATGTTTCACTGTCATTATTAAGGCAGAGGCTTGTTTTTAATGGTTTTATGGCCAACTTGAGTTTATGGTGTATCATTGTAAGATACTTTCAGTGCTTATTGATTTTTACAAACTGCATTTGAATAATAAAGGAATACATGTACTCTTTTACAACAGAGTTGTATAATAAATGTGAATTGAGGGAATCTCAAAGAAATCATTGAAATTGAATAAACTTTTCCTAGAAAGTATAAACTTATTTTTCATCTAATGCAGACATTACTGATGACACTGGAATACTATGTACTTGTATGTTTATATACAAACTCCCCATTCAACAGTAGATGTTTTATAAAGTTACACTATACAGGGTCAAAAATGAATAAACTTTACAGGTGAAGAAAGTATGAAGCTCTTATGTGGCATAAGTAGTTTAATTCACAAAAAACTGTCAATAAATTTACGGTTTTTTGTGAATTGTAGCTGAAATTGTGCATGAAACCAAAAAATTGTTTAAAAATAACTTTTTTCGATATAGTGATAAATAACCCAACTTCTGTAATTTTGTTGAGGAAAAATTGAAATTTGTCAAATAAAACGAATCACTTGACAACTATTCTCTTGATTATTTTGTTTGCCTGCGTGCGTACGTACGTGCGTGTTCTTTGTAGCTGAAAGATAGATTTTATAAGGGTGCTTCCATCTTGAAAGNATTGGAAAGTCAAATGAAGTGAATCCACTAGGTATTTCTGCTGATACAAATTCACATCTTAGAAAACAATGGCGAGTGGCACAAAGATATGCGGACTTTGTCTGGAAACGGTGTATACGGGAATATGTACCCTCGCTGATAAAGAGAAGCATGTGGCAGTTCAATAGCAGTGATGTTGCAGAATGAGACATCGTCATTATTGCGGATGATATTTTTCCCAGAAACTCATGGCCAAGAGGAAAAGTTACGCGAATTTTTCCTGGTCCCGGTTACAGAGTATGGGTAGTCGAAGTGACTACAACAACAGGAGTTTATCGTCGTTCCATCACAAAAATAATTTTGTTGAAGCCAAAGAAGTAAATTGCGAGCCTCGGAGGATGTTGTGAATT